GTTCTGAAATTTCTGGGAGTTTTTCAATGTTTCTTTGGAAGTATGGAGGTTTGAAACTGCCTACTCCTCCATTTTGCTGACATAATTCTGTACATATATTATATAAATATAATTATTTGTAAATGAGAACTCCCCTGGCTGAAGAAAAGGTATTTCCCTACTGTGGTTTAGACTTGAATTTCTGAAATGGCTCACTGGCTAAGCAATGCTCATTCTGGCATCTCAAAAGAAAAGTGCTTGGTTAAATAAATTTGGTAAAAGCATATGAAAGCCTACAAAAAGTTAAAGAAGACTGCTTTATGTTTATTTCAACCAAGCATTTCCCAAGTTTATTTTCACTTAAGAATCTTTCTCACTGGTAATACAGAATAGCTTTTGAAGGGCATTTGTCACCAGGGTAGGACAAGAAAAATGGTCCAATTTTTTAAAGCTTTGATTTTTCACAGTTGCTTCCATAAATACAGTTATGGGGCTGGATTTTGGGGAGAGGTGCAGAGGCAGACAAGACTAGTACTCTTTGGAACAAATAAAGGTCGTGACCCCTTCTCTCCAGGAGTTCTGAGACATACCTGTAAACACATCAGACAAGAAAGAAGGCTGAGGCCACGTGAGCTGCATAACGGGAAAGGGCTCAGGAAGTCGTCGCCAGCAGACAGTGTGGGGGGTGGGCAGGGACAGAGAGAGCGAAGCTACGATCTGCCTCGAGTGCACTGCTGAGTGATTGCCACAAACTGGACAGTCACTTTTAAAGAGTAAGCTGTGCTTGAGAAGAAAACAAAACAAATGAGTTGGTGGTATGGAATGCTATTTTGAGTACCCTTGAAATATTTTGGAGGGGCACCAAGTGGAATCATCTGTGGTTAGGGTGGGGCGAGTGGGAGCTGGTGCTGGAACGAAGTCAAGGGTTTAGAGGAAAACTTTTATTGCAGATGTTGACACCACAGTTTCCCCTTCCAGATTGTGGACCTTTGAAGGGCCAGAAGAGTTATCTGACTTACCTTGTTTCCAATGATACCCAACAGAGTACTGGGGGAAAATGGGATGTGTGGCCTAATAATGAGCCAAGAGTGCTCTCTCCTTAGCCTGAAAACAGGAATGGAGTAAAACCCTCAAACAATTAAAACAAACCAACCCTATATTTAGATCATTTTATTTGAATGGTTGAAAGAGTGGTTGTCATTATTCTGTCCATCCATGCACCTGGATAAACTCTGATTATCTACATAAGAACAAAAGTGCTCAGAGATTATGAGCATTCCTTAATTCCAAAATCACTCCGTGAATAAATCAGCCAGATAAATGCAGTCATAAAACTATCCTGCCAATGTTTGGCTCCTCTCGACTTGACTTGTAGATTCAAAGCAACCCTAATCAAAATCCCAGCAAGTTATTTTGTGCATATTGACACATGAATTCTAAAGTTTGTTTAGAAAGGCAAGAGACCCAGAACAGACAATATAACACTGAAGAACAAAGTTGGAGGACTGATGCTACCTGACCTCAAGACTTACTTATAAAGCTACAGTAATCAAGACAGTGTGGTATTGGCAAAAGAACAGGCAAATATATCACTGGAACAGAATAGAAAGCCCTGAAATGGGCCCCCATAAATGCAGTCAATGGATCTTTAATGAAGCAGTGAGGGTAGTACACCGCAGCAAAGATCATCTTTTTAATAAATGGTGCTGGAATAACTGAAAATCCACATGCAAAGAAATAAATCTAGACACAGACCTTATACGCTTTACAAAAATTAATCACAGATCACAATGCATGCATGCTCAGTCACTGAGTCATATCCGATTCTTTGCGACCCCATGTACTATAGCCCACCAGGCTCTTTCGTCCATGGGATTATCCCAGCAAGCATACTGCAGTGGATTGCCATTTCCTCCTTAGGGAGATCTGCCCAACCTAGGGATCAAACCTGTGTCTCCTGCATTGGCAGGCAGATTCTTCATCACTGAGCCACCTGGGAACCCCAAATTTAAAATACAGAACTATAAGACTACTAATAAAGTAACACAGAAAATCTAAGTGACCTTGGGTATGGCAGAGACCTTTTAAGATCCAACATCAAAAGGCACTATCATGAAATAACTGGTAAGATGGACTTCATTAATATTAAGAACTGCTCTGTGAGAAAAGCATGAACAGAATTAGAAGACAAGCCAAAGATTGGGAGAAAACATTTGCAAAAGATGTTTCTGACAAAGGACTATTATCCATAGTATACAAAGAACTCTTAAAACTCAGCAATAAGAAAATGAACAGACCAATTAAAAACGGACAAAAGTTCTAAACAAACATCTCACCAAAGAATATATACATATGGCAAAAAAGTGTATAAAAAGAGTTCAACATCATGTATCTTCAGGGAAATGCAAATTAAACAAGATACTGTTTCACACTAGGACAGTCAAAATGCAAAACACAACATCAAATGCTGGTGAGGACGTGGAGCAATAGGAACTCTCATCATTGCTGGTGGGAATGCAAAACAATACTGCCACTTTGGAACTGTCAGCTTTTTACAGAACCAGACATACTCTTACCATATTATCCAGCAACTGTGCTCCTTGTTATTCACCTAAATGAACTGAAATGTATGTCTACACAAAGACCTGCACACAGACATGTATGACTTTATTCACAGCTGCTAAAACTTCGGAGCGACCAAAATGTCCTTCCACAGATGAATGTATAATGTAGTGCCTGTGAGCAATGAAATATAATTCAGCACTAAAAAGGACCTAGCATCCAGCCATGAAAAAGACATGGAGGAAACTTACATGCATATTACTAAATGTAAGAAGGCAATCCTACATACTGTAAGATTCCAGGAATAAACATACTTCTGGGATGTGATGTGTCGATACATAAAAGTGGGAGACTGCATGTGTCAGGGCAAGAGGTATTTCTGGGAACTCTTTTCTGCTCAATTTTGCTCTGAACCTAAAACTTCTTTCAAAAGAAGTTTACTTAAAAACTGAACTGTGGAGAACAGTGTGGAGATTCCTTAAAAAACCGGAAATAGAACTGCCATATGACCCAGCAATCTCACTTCTGGGCATACACACTGAGGAAACCAGATCTGAAAGAGACACGTGCACCCCAATGTTCATTGCAGCACTGTTTATAATAGCCAGGACATGGAAGCAACCTAGATGCCCATCAGCAGACGAATGGATAAGGAAGCTGTGGTACATATACACCATGGAATATTACTCAGCCATTAAAAAGAATTCGTTTGAATCCATTCTAATGAGATGGATGAAACTGGAGCCCATTATACAGAGTGAAGTAAGCCAGAAAGATAAAGACCAATACAGTATACTAACGCATATATATGGAATTTAGAAAGATGGTAACAATAACCCTATATGCAAAACAGAAAGAGAGACACAGATGTACAGAACAAGACTTTTGGACCCTGTGGGAGAAGGCGAGGGTGGGATATTTTGAGAGAACAGCATCGAAACAAGTATATTATCTAGGGTGAAACAGATCACCAGCCCAGGTTGGATGCATGAGACAAGTGCTCAGGGCTGGTGCACTGGGAAGACCCAAAGGGATGGGGTGGGGAGGGAGGTAGGAGTGGGGGTCGGGATGGGGAATACATGTAAATCCATGGCTGATCCACGTCAATGTATGGCAAAAACCACTACAATATTGTAATTAGCCTCCAACTAATAAAAATAAATGAAAAAAAAAAAAAAAACCTGACTGTATCCTGAAGGTGAAATCAAGAGTAAGAGGACAGTGCCCTGGATGGGAGAGTCCAATTTTGCAGGATGAGAGGAAAAGGTCCTTACTGCAGCACATCCTATACATCCACATTTCTCCATACAACCTACAGAAACCAACCAGGGGGACAGTGGCCAGGTTTTTTTCCTACCTGTGTAGGGCACGTAAGACATGGACCAGAGGGATTTGGGTTGAACCCCAGTTCTGCCACTTTATGATTTAGAGCATGTCACTTCAGCAAGCTGAGGTGTTTTCCTAATCTGTGAAGACTGAATGATCACATATGCTCAACAGCTTTGTAAACTGTAAGGCCCACACAAATATAAGTCGTTACTGCTGAATGATTTAAAAACGTCACTTAGAAATGTGTGAATTGTTTACACTGCATGACTGCACCATGCCCCTCTCATTGGTCAGCTCCTCGCTTTGAGAAAGCACTGATATGTATGCCCATATCCCATACATCCAAGACAACCAGCTTAACACAGGAGAAGGCAATCAGAAGGTGAAAGAGGCCTAACCCCACCACTGTCCACAATCTGCGTGAGAAGGAAAAAGCTACAGACACACACACCTGCCTCAGGCCAATATAATATAGCCACCCAGCCCACAAGACAAGGGGTCAACAATTCCCAAGCATCCTTTTGCTTATACAAAGCTGACAAACATGGGAAGAGTAGCTGGCACAGCATCTTGTGGAGGCTGAGGAGCAGCGTCCACTGAGCTGAGTGCCTTCTGCTGAGCTGCTGAGTCCCACAGGCCCTGCTGTAACACCTCCTCTTTTCACGGCTGACACAGGACATAATTTGGGACAGGAGACACCTTGCAAGTTCACTGTACCTGACAATCTATGATAAGACCAAGTGTTAAAGCAGAAATTTATTAAAATCCATTTATATAGTGTTTTACAGACCAAAAAAAAGAAAATACAGAGTCCTCAACATTCAGGCAATCAACTCTTTTCTCTGAAGTGCCTTGTGAGAAGACAAGACTTCTTTGCCCTCATCCCTTAAAAAGATAACTTCTATTCACACTCCTGAAAATGATGCATTTATTACACCACCTCTCAAGAACAATCTCACTGAATCCCAAAGCCTCTGAAGAGAGAGAAGAGAGATTAGCAGAGAACCTTCTCCAGAATGCAGTGTCTCACCCAGAGGTGTAGTGCAAGAGACACAGAAATGGCAGAGGCTTCAAGGAGTGTGCGCCCGGTGACGGGGCCAGGAGGAGAGCCTGCAGCCAGCTGGGGTGCCCTAGCTGCGAAGTGTGGCCAGACGGGACTGCATGGCCTCCAGGGCCTCTTCCTCCTCCTCCTCGTCTTCTGATGCAGCCATCGCTCCTACAGGTTCAGGCTCTGGGAGGGCGTCCATCACCTTACTAGGTGCTTTGCCTAAGGCCCCTGTAAAGAAGAAGTACACAGGTCAACAAAATATCAGCTTAAGCAGCGCTCCCTCATTTTCTCTGTCCTTCATACCTGCTTCAATTTGACAAGAAACAGAAAAGGTGCAACGAAATAGCTGTTTTGGTGGGGTTACTATGACTGATGTGCACAAACACCAACTTCTAACAAAGTCACAATAACTAAAGATTTTGATTTTAAGAATTTTGATTCTGAGGCTCTTGACCTAAATCCCTAAACACTAGTGAATACTTAATTTTCAAGATTCATGAAGATGTTAAATATTCTCTCTCAGTAAAACTAAACTGTTTCTAAATCATTACAAAACATTTTTTTGGAGCCTTCTTTCCCCCAATAGTTGAAAACAAATAAAAATTAAATCTAGTCAGTTTTGTTATTAAACATAAAACTCAGAAAGTCCAGAAGTGAAAATACAGTTTAAAAGCTCATGAACCATCACTTAGAGAATCTATTATTTTTATTTATCCCCCTGCTACACTTTAATAGATGTATTTTTTTAAACAATAGTGTATTTCAGTAACAGTGCTTTCTTCACATATTATGAACATCTTTCCATGTCAATAAATACATCTCTGTGTAACAACTATGACATGTTCCATTACCATAGATGTAACACAATGGATTTAACCAATATTCTACTATTAGGCATGTAGCTTGTTTCAAACTTTTCAATATTATCAATAATAATACTACAGACATCCTTGAGCTAAATCTTAAATTACTAGAATAAGTTCCCAGAAGCCAATCTGTGAGCTCAAGAGCTTTGCTACTGCCAAACTGCTTTCAAGAAAGCCTATGCTAGTTTAAGCTCCTGACAGCAGAATATAGGACCAAAAAATTCTGTATCTTTGTATTTTATAAAATATGGTTATAGATATTGTGCTTGTTTTTCAAGTAATAACTTGCATAATCTAAAGTAAGAAATGTGGAGGCTTCCCAGGTGGCTTAGTGGTGAAGAATCTCACTGCCAATCAAGGAGAAGCAGGTCTAGGAGGACCCCACATGCTGAGGAGCAACTAAGCTTGTGTGCCACAACTACTGAGCCTGTGCTCTAAGCCCAGAAGCCACAACTACTAAAGCTTGTGTGCCCCAGAGCCCATGCAAGCCACTGCAATGAGAAGCCAACACACAACTAGAGAGTCCCCATGCTTGCCACAACTAGAGAAAGCCTGTGGGCATCAACCAAGACCAAGCACAGCTAAATATAAAATAAATGAAAATTTAAAAAATAAAGTAAGAAATGTGGGAGGGGGTTAGAATCTGAAGAAAAAGCTACTAGTTAATCTTTTGAATGCAGGAAGGATGGCCACAAAAGGAAAGGATAAAGAGGAAGGATCTCGGGTCATACCTGCGGTGATCTCAAACAGAATTCTGTCAATTTCCATTTCTGCTGCTTCTTCCATTTCTTCTTGATCATCCATGCTTTCAAAAGTGTCCTCTAACATCTCTTCTATGATCCCAGCCTAAATATAGAATAAACCATGTCACTTCCCACAACTGTTAAATCCACTCCCCGCAGATGTCCCTGTGGGCCCAGCGCACCAACTGAGCTCTGGGGTCTATGAGTCCAGTCCACCCTTCCCAGGTCTAAGCCACAGGAAACACCACATGCTATCTGCCCTCTCTGGAGCAAGTAAAAAGCCAAAGGGAAACTGCTCTCCAAATTTAGTACTAAGGTTGGAGGGGGTCCTCTATCAGCAGAGTTTCACAGAGTACTCAGAGAATAGTGCAGCATGTGGGGAACAACCTGCTGAGAGGAGAGGGTGCTGTCTCAGGAAGCATTTGCCCTGATGTAGCAAATCTATGAGTGCAGAAGTTGAGATACAGTATCAAAATAGGCTGGAGTCACAGCAGACACTATGATAACAAATACCAAGAGCAGGGTGGGGCTCCATGGAACCCAGAAAAGGCCTGTACTTCAGCAGGTCCAAGTGATAGCTGTTGGCCTGGCGTCAGTCTGATGGGTCTGGCAAGGATCAGTCAATTCACCAAAACCTGAGAGAACTGATAAGTCAACATTTCTGGACCGAACCAGGCAGTGCCCACACTCCCTACAGTGAGCCCCATGCCCAGCAGCCTGATGCCAGCCAATCAGGCTACTTCATTCTCAAGAGCACAGCCCTGCTACAGATGCAAGAAAACTGCTCTCTAACACCGGCCAACGGTCCCCCTCGCTGAGTAATGTCATGCGAGCACGAAATTACGTGTGGCAGCTCCAACCCTTGCTACACCGCACTCAGGCAGGGCATGACCCTCACCAACCGTGCTGAAGGCGTCAGATTTAAAGCAAGCCCTCTCTCCTGCTGTCAGACCACTCAGGTGACTCTTAATGTATGAATCTAGCTAGTTCTACATTCTGCCCACACTCAGACCCTTTTCCTCCCAACCAAAATGAACCAACAAATTCACACTCAAGGTTACAAGTGGAGCCCTCTGGCCTGGGAGAATGGATCTTACTGCTGGATCAATACATATTAACTTGCTTAAAAGAGTCCAGGGGAACCTGACTCTAAGAGCCTTCCACATCCTGGAGGAATAAGTGGCCATTCATTTATTCATTCATCTAGCTAGCAATCATTCATTCACCAAATGTCTGCTTTGTGCCACAGATAGCCCTGGATCTGGGAACACATGGAATGAGTAAGATTGTGTCTTTGTCCTTGATGTGCTGGGACCCCAGCAGAGGCTTCCGTTTGCACCTGGAGAGGCATCCTTTTTTTTTTTTTTTTTTGAGAGGCATCCTTATATGAATTCAGGAAATATTACCTACTACATACATGCCTTCCTCCAAAGCTATATTATTTTCAGTGCTCAGAAACTTTTGTGGAAGAGATTCCAGATTCTAAAATCAAGACTCCACCCTCAGATCTCAGTGGCTTATGGGTCAGTGAGCAGACGTGAAGTCACTCCAAGAATGACCATGTCACCCAGCTCTAGATGGACAGACATCACAACGTGGGGTGAGACACCCACGTATCACTCTCAGAGGATACATCCCACTAAGCTGGTTCTGTCCTGATTACTGCTCAGGGATTCCTCCTTCCAAAGACCTGGGTTCTGGGCTTTTGATGCTGCCTTTCTTTTCTATCAACTTTCTTCTCCTGTTCCCCTCTCCTAGGACTCGGAGCCCTGTTTACAACTCAAGTTCATACACCAAATTCCCTAGGAGGAGGGGAGGCAGCTTCTCTGCACAGCCACATATGAGAATTCTCTGGCCACGAGTTCAGAGTTGTGAAGCATCACTGATGGGGCCCTTCCAGCACCATGTCCTCTGACGTAGCTCAGACCTTTGTGCTTCAACCCCAGACCTATCCTCTCCTACCAAGGTCACTCAGGTAAGTCACCTGGCAACTCTCAAGACTCAGTTTCCTACTCCTGTGTAAAATAGGGAAAAAAATACCAGCATCTCAAGGTGGCTGGGAGAACTCTCCGGCAGAGCGTGTGTGCTGCACCACAGGCGGCTGGGGGCTCAGTAACAGCACCCTCCTGAGCCCTGTCCCCCATCCAAGGGCCACTGGTGCAGGGCCCTGCCAGGCCCTGGTCCTGGGGCAGCAGGTGTTTACTCCTTTCTATTTGGTTCTCAGTTCCTTTATCTGGGCTTCCCTGGTGGCTCAGATGGTAAAGAATCCACCTGCAATGCAGGAGACCTAGGTTTGATCCCTGGGTTGGGCAGATCCCCTGGAGAAAGGAATGGCAACCCACTCCAGTATTCTTGCCTGGAGAATCCCCATGGACAGAGAAGCCTGGCGGGCTAAGTCCATAGGGTCACAGAGTCTAATGCAACTGAGAGACTTTCACTTTCTGGTCTAAGACAGGGGTCAGCCAGCTACAGGCTGAACCCAATTCACTGCCGACTTTTACAAATAATGTTTTATGAGAACACAGTCATGCTCATTTGTTTACATATTATCTACAGCTACTTTTAAACTACAAAGTAGAGTTGAGTAGTTACAACAGAGACCTATGGCCCAGAAAATAAAAAATACATTTACTATCCAGCCCTTTATAAAAAAACTTTGCCAACCCCTGGTCTTGAACCACCTGCCTTGCCTGCTTCACTAACACTCCTCTGGTACAAACGGAGGAACCTGGGTTTTCTTCTGTTTCCTTGTTCACCTCAGAGCCCATAATCCTGAGCTCCCCAAACTCTATGGACAGTTGCTTCCTGGGTCACCCACCTCCCCTGGAGATCTAGATATACCACTGCTTCTTCCAAGGAAAAATGGCAATCTGACCCAGCCTCTGCCATGCTCAGCTCAGACGATTTCGGTGTTAACGGCCTCTGTCCTCCAGAGGAATGGATAGACAATGTGGTATATAAAAACAATGGAATATTACACAGCCATTAAAAAGAATGAAATAAGGCCATTTACAGCAACATGGATGGACCTAAAGAGTGTCATATTGAGTGAAGTCAGTCAGACAGAGAAGGAGAAATATCATATGACATCCCTTATACGTGGAATCTAAAAAGAAATGACATAAATGAACTTACTTACAAAACAGAAAGAGACTAACAGACTGAGAAAACAAACTCATGGGGGGAAGGTCATGTACACACTGCTATATTTAAAATGGATAACAAACAAAAACCTATTGTATAGCACATGGAACTCTGCTCAATGTTATGTGCTAGCATGGATGGGAGGAGCATTGGCGTAGAATGGATACATGTATGTGAATGGCTGAGTCCCTTCACTTCACCTGAAACTATCACAACACTGTTAATTGGCTATATACCAATACAATTTTTGTTTTGTTTTGTATTTTGTCCTGGTGTTAAAAAAAATAATAATAAATAAATTACAAAAAAAACCCCACAGCTTCTATCCTCAAAATCATTTCTGCTGGGTCACAATGACCTGTCTGCCCCTGTCCACACTGGCCCAGGCTCTGCCGCTGGCTGATTCCTAGTGCTCTGGAAGAGGACACAGGGTCAGCCCCGGGTCACCTTCATCATCTCTTTGGACAGCTCCCGCATGGTGGCCTGGATTTCCGGGATCTTCACAAGACTCTGCATGGCCTTCATCACTTCTGTACTCTTCTGCAGGGAACCAGCCACTCGCAAAACCGCTGAAAGGCAAAGATAACACGATCGCTCAACACAAGGTGGCACAGGATAGAATAAAGACAGGCAAATCACAAGCTACTCTAATAAAAGTCAGCGGGGGTGGGCGGACTCATAAAGCTATTTATGTACCTGTAGACTGCATGACTGTGCTGGCTGACCGAGACTGACTTTGCTAAACTGGGTGTTACTTTGGCTACAACAGGTACAAGTTCTTCAGGCACACCAAGACTCACATCTGAAGGCCTGAGTCTGACCCTGAGGGAACGAAGCTAGCTAGGAATGACTGTGACATCAGGACAAGTCACACATAGAAGAATGTCTCTAGGCCTTGCAGGGCCAGACTGGAAAAGAGGCTTTGGGCAACGCAAGTAACACTTCCCACACACCAGTTGATGGATCGCAGCTGCTCTGGAGGGACCTGCCACTGGTCAACGGGAAAATGAGAGAAAATGTCAGTGTAAGGTGGTTACAGTTAGAAAAAATTCTCTATAGTCCAAGATCATACACATACTATATATTCTTCTTTTCAATATTTATTTATTTATTTGACTGTGTGGAGTCTTAGTTGAGGCACACAAGATCTTTCGTGCAGCATGCAGGCTTAGTTGCCTTGAGGCGTATGGGATCTTAGTTCCCCAATCAGGGATCAAACCTATATCCTCTGCATTGGAAGGTGGATTCTTAACCCCTGGACCATCAGGGAAATCCCTATATTCTTTAAAAGAAATCATGGTAGTAAAAAATTATGATTTCTGCCCTCTAAAGTTTTTAAAATAGAGTCAAAATAGAGGTCAAAATAGAGTTGTTCACTTCAGTTGCTCAGTCATGTCTGACTCTTTGCGACCCCATGAACTGCAGCACACCAGGCCTCCCTGTCCATCACAAACTCCTGGAGTTTACCCAAACTCATGTCCACTGAGTCAGTGATGCCATCCAACCATCTCATCCTCTGTCATCCCCTTCTCCTCCTGCCCTCAATCTTTCCCAGCATCACGGTCTTTTCAAATGAGTCAGCTCTTCACATCAGGTGGCCAAAGTATTGGAGTTTCAGCTTCAGCATCAATCCTTCCAATGAACACCCAGGACTTATCTCCTTTAGGATGGACTGGCTGGATCTCCTTGCAGTCCAAGGGACACTCAAAAGTTTTCTCCAACACCACAGTTCAAAAGCATCAATTCTTTGGTGCTCAACTTTCTTTATAGTGCAACTCTCACATCCATACATGACTACTGGAAAAACCATAGCCTTGACTAGACTGACCTTTGTTGGCCATCCTTCAAATCTGTTTTGAAATTTCATGGGACTAAATGTTCTGAGAAATGCCTCACGTTCATCTGTTCGCCAAAACAGGGCCCCCAGCTACACTGGGAACTACCACCCATCTACTTCTATCTGAATCCAGACTCCAGGAAGCTGTCGCAGCTAAGGAAAACAAGGTGCAAGTAAGTGGATGACCAGAGAAGTGCCCATCTGACAACGCAGCATTTTGTGATTTTTCTACAGGAATAAGAAGTTCACTAGTTGCAGAGAATACTTCACTTCCCTTGCACTCTTAATTTCCTGTGAAAAGGGAAGAGGCAGTCCGTCTGTATGGCTAAAATAGGAATGAATTATGCTATTATAATGACAAAAAAAAAGACAAATTCTAAAGTGTTGAAGTTACTACTGATTGTTGTAAAAAAGGTAAATGATTGGAGGAAGAGAAGAAAGGTAAAAATAAAGCAAATTCCACATAGTTTTGTTTGAATGATAAAAGTTGGATGTCTATACAGGCCGATGTTTTATCCTAATTTGCATCCTGAGTCCGTATCCCAGAGGGAGTGGCTCTGGGATTGAACATGACATGTGTTCAATAAAGTTTTTTGAAATAGCAAAAATAAATGGAAACAGAAAAACGTGGTGTGACAAGTGTTAAGTTAAATACTGAAACATTTGCATTTTGAAAAAGGTATGAATTACTGATTGCTAAAAGAAATAAGAAAAGGAAGACTCAGTATAGTGGGGAAAGATGAAGCAAAACTGAACTTAGAAACAAAACTAATTCCAACAATATTTAATTTGATAACTAGTCAAGGACTGGTAAAGTGGATTTTTAAAAGGACAAAATAAATGTATATGTACCCTGGAATCTCAAAACCAAAAAGATATGAGAAAAATAAAAGACAGGACCAAAATATTTTTTATGTTACACAAGAAAAAAAAAAAAGCACGTGTCAGAAAAAAATTGTTTTATAAGTAAACATAGTTATCCCCACAAGAGGATGAGAAAACAAGCCAAAAGCTGGAAGAAAAGATTTTCATCAGACATTTATGATGAAAAGGATTATGGTCTAACATATACAAAGAAGTCTTAAAGCTCTTCAAGTGTCATATTTACCATCAATGATAAATATCATCTATGTCATATTTATTATCTAATATAAGTATCTATAGTTATCATCAATAAGGAAATTAACAACCCAATGAAAAACAGGCAGGATACCTAAACAACCAACTCACAGGAGACATACAGATGTCATAAAAAAGCACACATAAAAAGACGTTCAACATCCTATGTCATTAGGGAAATGAAAGTTAAAACAACAATGAGGTACCAGTACACATCTATTAGACTGGACAAAACCCAAAACTGATATCAAATGCTGGTGAGGATGTGGAGCAATAGGAACTCTCAATCATTGCTGGCGGGAATGCAAAATGGTACAGCCACTTTAGGAAACAGTTTGTCAGCTCCTTATAAAACTAAATATACTCTTAACATATGATTTGACAATAGCCCTCCTTGGCATTTACTCAAAGGAGTTAAAAACTTATGTCCACACAAAAACTTGCACATGAATGTTCACCAGAACTTTATTCATCATAATTGCCAAAACTCAGACTCAACCAAGATGTGGCTTACAAGTAAACAATAATGGATAAACAGAGTGTGGGACATCAACACAGTGAATATTAATCAGCACTAAAAAGAAATGAGCTTTCTTGAAAAAACATGGAGGAAACCTTATATGTATATTACTAAGTGAAAGAAGTCAATCTAGGACTTCCCTGGTGGTCCAGTGGTTAAAAATTCACCTGCCAATGCAGGGGACATGGGTTCAGTCTCTGGTCTGGGGAGATTCCATATGCCATGGAGCAACTAATAAGCCCATGCACTACAACTACTGAACCAATGTGCCTAGAGCCTGTACTCCACAAACAGAGAAGCCACTGCAATGAGAAGTCTGTGCACTGCAAGGGGAGAGTACCCCCCACTAGCTGCAACTAGAGAAAACCCATGTGCAGCAATGGAGACCTGCTGCTGCTGCTGCTAAGTCACTTCAGTCGTGTCTGACTCTGTGTGACCCCATAGATGGCAGCCCACCAGGCTCCCCCGTCCCTGGGATTCTCCAGGCAAGAACACTGGAGTGGGTTGCCATTTCCTTCTCCCATGCATGAAAGTGAAAAGTGAAAGTGAAGTCGCTCAGTCGTGTCCGACTCTTAAGTGACCCCACGGACTGCAGCCTAAGAGGCTCCTCCATCCATGGGATTTTCTAGGCAAGAGTACTGGAGTGGGGTGCCATTGCCTTCTCCAAATGGAGACCTTATTTAATTTTTGGAGGCCAAAAATTAAATAAGCAATTAATAAACATTTTTTAAAAAAGAAAATCGAAAAGGCTACATACAGTATCATTCCAAGTATATATGACATTCTCGAAAAAGGGAAAATTATGGAGACAATAAAAAGATCAGTGACTGCCAAAGTTAAGGGTGGGATGGATGAACAGGCAGAGCACAGAAAATTTTCAGCTGTATACATTTCACAGTAAAATAAGAATCTCCAAAAATAAAAAGGTTAATATTCTACAGCAAACATAAAGTTAGCATTATAAAAGCTAGCTGACATTTAAACTGAGAAAGGTCACAGTCACACAGAGAGGGTTGTGAAACACACGAGCACTTCATGCTTACAGCTCTTTGTGCTTTCGATGATGGCTATTCTGACTGGTGTGAGGTGATACCTCATTGTAGTTTTGATTTGCATTTCTCTAATAATGAGCAGTGCTGAGCATCTTTTCATGTGTTTATCAGCTATCTGTATGTCTCCTTTGGAGAAATGTCTGTTTAGATCTTCTGCCCACTTTTTGATTGGGTTGTTTGTTTTTCTGGTACTGAGCTGCATGAGCTGCTTGTATATTTTGGAGATTAATACTTTTCATTTGCTATTACTTTCTCCTATTCTGAGGGCTGTCTTTTCACCTTGTTTATAGTTTCCTTTGCTGTGCAAAAGTTTTTAAGTTTAATTAGGTCCTACCTGTTTATTATTGTTTTTATTTCCATTACTCTAGGAGGTGGGTCATAGAGGATCTTGCTGTGGTTTATGTCAGGAAGTGCACTGCCTATGTTTTCCTCTAAGAGCTTTATAGTTTCTGGCCTTACATTTAAGTCTTTAACCCATTTTGAGTTTATTTTTGTGTATGGTGTTAGGAGGTGTTCTAGTTTCATTCCTTTATGTGCAGCTGTCCAGTCTTCCCAGCACTAACTTACTAAAGCGGAGAAGGCAATGGCACCCCGCTCCAGTACTCTTGCCTGGAAAATCCCACGGACGGAGGAGCCTGGTGGGCTGCAGTCCATGGGGTCGCTAAGAGTTGTACACAACTGAGCAACTTCACTTTCACTTTTCACTTTCATGCATTGGAGAAGGAAATGGCAACCCACTCCAGCGTTCTTGCCTGGAGAATCCCAGGGACGGGGGAGCCTGGTGGGCTGCCGTCTATAGGGTCGCACAGAGTCGGACACGACTGAAGCGACTTAGCAGCAGCAACAGCAACTTACTAAAGAGGCTGTCTTTTCTCTGCTGTATATTCTTGCCTCCTTTGTCAAAGACAAGCTGCCCATAAAGCTTCTAGTAATTTAATATAAAATAAGTATAGTATTTAATATAAAAATAAGTCATAGGGATGTAATGTACAGCACAGGGAATTATAGTCAGTAATAATGCAATAACTTTGTAGGGTAACA